TCAACCCGGGGATGCAAGGCTGGTTCAACATATGCAGGTCTATAAACGTAATTCACCACATAAACAGAACCAAAACCAAAAACCACGATTATCTCAATCAATGCAGAGAAGGCATTCGACAAAATTCAACAGCCCTTTATGCTAAAAACCCTCAATAAACTCGGTATTGATGGAACATATCTCAAAGTAATAAAAGCTATTTATGACAAACCAACAGCCAGTATCATACTGAATGGGCAAAAACTAGAAGCATTTCCTTTGAAATCCGGCACTAGACAAGGATGCCCTCTTTCACCACTCCTATTCAATATAGTACTGGAAGTTCTAGCCAGAGCAATCAGGCAAGAAAAAGAAATAAAAGGTATTCAAATAGGAAAGGTGGAAGCCAAATTGTCTCTATTTGCAGACGACATGATAGTATACCTAGAAGACCCCATTGCCTCAGCCCAAAAACTCCTGAAACTGATAAGCAACTTCAGCAAAGTCTCAGGTTACAAAATCAATGTGCAAAAATCACAAGCATTCCTATACACCAATAACAGACTTAAAGAGAGCCAAATCAAGAATAAACTGCCATTCACAATTGCTACAAAAAGAATAAAACACCTAGGAATACAACTCACAAGGAACATAAGGGACCTCTTCAAGGAAAACTACAAACCACTGCTCAACGAAATCAGAGAGGACACAGATGGAGAAACATTCCATGTTCATGGTTAGGAAGAATTAATATCGTGAAAATGGCTATACTGCCCAAAGTAATTTACAGAATCAACACTATCCCCATCAGGCTACCATTGACTTTCTTCACAGAACTGGAAAACCCACCATGAACTTCATATGGAACCAAAAGAGAGCCCGCATAGCCAAGTCAATTCTAAGCAAAAAGAACACAGCGGGGGGCATCACACTACTGGATTTCAAACTATACTACAAGGCTACAGTAATCAAAACAGCATGGTACTGGTACCAAAACAGAGATATAGACCAATGGAACAAAACAGAGGCATCGGAGGCAACACAGCATATCTACAACCATACAATCTTTGATAAACCTGACAAAAACAAGCAACGGGGAAAGGATTCCCTGTTTAACAAATGGTGTTGGGAAAACTGGCTGGCCATGTGCACAAAGCAGAAACTGGACCCCTTCCTGACACCTTACACTAAAATTAACTCCAGATGGATTAAAGACTTAAACATAAGACCTGGCATCATAAAAACCCTAGAAGAAAATCTAGGCAAAACCATCAAGGACATAGGAGTAGGCAAGGACTTCATGAACAAAACAACAAAAGCATTGGCAACAAAAGCCAAAATAGACAAATGGGACCTAATGAAACTCCACAACTTCTGCACAGCAAAAGAAACAGTCACTAGAGTGAATCGGCAACCAACAGAATGGGAAAAAATTTTTGCAGTTTACCCATCTGACAAAGGGCTGATATCCAGAATTTACAAAGCACTCAAACAGATTCACAGGAAAAAGACAAGCCCATTCAAAATTGGGCAAAGGATATGAACAGTCACTTTACAAAAGAAGACATATATGAGGCCAACAATCATATGAAAAAATGCTCATCAACACTGGTCATCAGAGAAATGCAAATCAAAATCACATTGAGAGACCATCTCACGCCAGCTAGAATGGTGATCATTAAAAAATCTGGAGACAACAGATGCTGGAGAGGATGTGGAGAAATAGGAACACTTTTACACTGTTGGTGGGAGTGTAAATTAGTTCAACCATTGTGGAAGAAAGTGTGGCGATTCCTCAAGGCCTTAGAAATAGAAATTCCATTTGACCCAGCAATCCCATTACTGGGTATATATCCAAAGGACTATAAATCGTTCTACTATAAGGACACATGCACACGAATGTTCATTGCAGCAATGTTTACAATAGCAAAGACCTGGAATAAACCCAAATGCCCATTCATAATAGACTGGATTGGGAAAATGTGGCACATATACACCATGGAATATCATGCAGCAATCAGAAATGATGAGTTTGTGTCGTTTGTAGGGACATGGATGAATCTGGAGAACATCATTCTCAGCAAACTGACAGAAGAACAGAAAATGAAATACCACATATTCTCACCCATAGGCAGGTGATGAAAAATGAGAACACATGGACACAGAAAGGGGAGTACTAAACACTGGGGGAGGGGAGTACTAAACACTGGGGTCTATTGGGGGGAAAGGAGAGGGCCAGTGGGAGGGGGAGCTGGGGAGTGATAGCCTGGGGAGAAATGCCAAATGTGGTTGAAGGGGAGAAAGGAAGCAAAACACACTGCCACGTGTGTACCTATGCGATTTTCTTGCATGTTCTGCACATGTACCCCAAAACCTAAAATGCAATAAAAAATTTAAAAAAAAAGAAAAGGAAAGAAAGAAAAAGAAAGAAATGAAAGAAAAATAAAAAGAAAGAAAGATAGATGATTAATGATAGATAGATAGATAGATAGATAGATTCCTTTTCTTTGTAAATTATCCAGTTTTGGGTATTTGTAATAAGCAACAGAAAGCAGACTAAGACAACCGCACGATAAAGACAAAGCTAAGGAAGTTAACAAAGATAGATCCCTCCTTTACATCTTCCAGTCTAGAGCATTATTACAAAGAAAAGGGGGACAAAGACTTAGAAAACAGACAGTGGGAGCTGACTTTTCTCCCTCAAGCCCAAAATATAAAGATAGGGGTAATAAGTGGGAAGATGACATTAGAAGAGGTGAAGAGAAAGCCAAAAGGATAAGGGGTATGTACTAAATTTCATGTTTAGAACTCTAGGAGATGTCCACCCAGGGTGGAAACAACAAGAAGAGCTGGGGATGCTCAGGCAGAGAGGGGACCTCAGTCAGCCCTTCTGAGATTCTCTCGATTCCTGTGCATTGAGAACAAGTTCTCAAGGTTCCATATACCATGCACAATGAAGAAAGTGACCAAATTTATACCCAAAACACATGAATAGGAGTGCTGGGGTGAGGTGACTCTACTACAAAGACTGCAGAAAGTCACCTAGTCATAGTCCAGATACTTCAATGATACTCAAAAGGTTTGGGAAAGCAACAGAAACCAAGGTGAGGTAAAATCAGCAATGGAGGAACTCAGGTCCTAAATAAGGCCTTAAGTTTATGAGTCAATGATTTTTTTTTCAATGGAGCCTAGACCAGGTATAAAACCAGTCTAGAAACCTTGCAGCGTCAATCAGTAAAAATCCAGAGACAGCTTATGGGATTCCAGATACCCTCAGGTCCCAATCTTACCCTTTCCCCAGCCATGCTAGAAGGCTACATTAGGTCTACCCCTATTCCTATACACCTATGTTTAGAGTGCATAGGATTATACACTGTCCAAACTGGAATATTTCTGAGAGTACAAGAGTACTCTATTAAGAATTAGGCCAAAAAAACAGGTACATACTGAGACTGCCCAGGCAGATAATGGGATATGATCACCTACCAATATGCCATTCTCAGGACTATGGAATGGGGATAAAATCCAAGATTCAGCATTCTCCCAAAAAGGACTTCTAACTGGAAGTAAATGGATGGCAATAAGTAAGTTTAACTCATGATTTCCCAGCTAAATAGGGGAGAAGGGTGATGAGGGTTTATGAGAACTTTAGATGAGTTATTTTTTAAAAACAAAGCTATATTTTCTTTGTACATGTAAGTGGTAGGTTTTATTTTTCAAAGAGAGGTCAGTATTTAGATGAGACACGAAGTAGTATCAGATACACATGATCAAGTGTTTTTATTACATTTGCTCCATGTAAATACATATGCAACAGTCATTAAAGTGGATCTACAAAGAAGTTATAGCAATATAAATAAAACTCCCTTTCTCCATTAGCTACTATGTTGAAGTTGTAGGGATTTTACTTTGTGAATGTGCCACTTAAATAAAGAGAATGCCAGATGTCTAGTAGATAATAGGCACTCAAATCTGGTATCATTATTATCCAAATATCATTCTATCCTTCTTAAGAATATATTATATTATAAATTGTAGAAGGAATTTTTTAAGGGACCTTAGTCATTTATATTTACAATTTTCATTGTAATTTACTAAAAGACAATTCCCCCGAAAACAACAGTAACATTTTATTTTCTTCAGAAATTTCTCACCATTTAGATGTGGCATATTTATAAAGAGGCTATTACACTAACGCTACTCTCTTCTCACTTTACAAACTTTCCTAAGGAGGCAACTATGCCTTCAGCACAGGACTTTTCCCTTGCTCTCCAGGCTGGGCCATCCAACTCCTTGCTGGACATCTCCACTTTAAAATACTGTCAGTACCTCAGTGTCACCCCAACCCACTCTTGCTTTTTCATTTGTGTTCCCTCACCTAGTGAATACGTTTTCATACAATTTCCTAAGTCAGAGGGCTGGGGGCCAACTTGAATTTCAACTTTTTCCAATTTGTCATTAAAAATTATTGACTATCCCTCTTGAATTTTTCTTCAACTTTTCCTTTTTGCTATCATTGCTGAAGGCAGAGAGTTTTTTTTTTTTGAGATGGAGTTTCACTCTTGTTACCCAGGCTGGAGTGCAATGGCGCGATCTCAGCTCACCACAACCTCCGCCTCCTGGGTTCAGGCAATTCTCCTGCCTCAGCTTCCTGAGTAGCTGGGATTACAGAAACGCACCACCATGCCCAGCTAATTTCTTGTATCTTTAGTAGAGATGGGGTTTCACCGTGTTGTTGACCAGGATGGTCTCGATCTCTTGACCTTGTGATCCACCTGCCTCGGCCTCCCAATGTGCTGGGATTACAGGCTTGAGCCACCATGCCCAGCCGAAGGCAGAGATTTTTTAATCAATTTTGTTCACTACTACATCTCTAGCAATTACAACAGGTCTGACACATGGTGAGTCCTCAACAAATAATAAATGAACACCTGAGTTTGTGGACCATCATACTTGCTATAAAACTATTATAAAATAGGGTTTCAAAAGCTCAATACAATTTAAAATTTTTTAGTTCTTACATTTTTCTATGGCACTTCTGATAGTCTTCTAAAGAGGTACCTAGGAAAGAAAATAAAAACAATCTATTAGAAATATAATTGAATCCACATCCAGATGAGTTCACAGCCAAATTCTACCAGATGTACAAAGAAGAGCTGGTATATCTCTTCTTTGGTACCATTCCTTTTGAAATTATTCCAAACAATACAAAAAGAGGGAACACTTCTTAACTCATTTATAAGACCAACATCATCCTGATACCAAAACTGGCAAAGATACAACTAAAAAAGAAAATTTCAGGCCAATATCTATGATAAACATCAATGCAAAAATCTTCAATAAAATACTGGCAAACCAATTGCAATAGCACAACAAAAAGCTTATCCACCACAAATAAGTAGGCTTCATCCCAGGGATGCAAGGCTGGTTGAACATATGCAAATGTATAAATGTAATCCATCACATAAACAAAACCAAAGACAAAAACCACATGATTATCTCAATAGATACAGAGAAGGCCTTGAACAAAATTCAACAGTGCTTTATGCTAAAAACTCTTAATAAACTAGGTATTGATAGAACATATCTCAAAATAATAAAAGCTATTTATGACAAACTCACAGATAATATCATACTGAATGGGCAAAAACTGGAAGTAATTCCTTTGAAAACTGGCACTAGACAAGGGTGCCTTCTCTTACCATTCCTATTGAACATAGTATTGGAAATTCTAGCCAGCAGTAAGGCAAGAAAAAGACATAAAGGTATTCAATTAAGAAAAGAGGAAGGGGTCTTCTAAATATACAATCATAAAAATTTGACTCTATTGGCAGATGACAAGATCATATATTTAGAAGACCCCATTGTCTCAGGCCAAAATCTCCTTAAGATGATAAGCAACTTCAGCAAAGTCTCAGGATACAAAATCAATATGCAAAAATCACAAGCATTCTTATACACCAATAACAGACAGAGAGTCAAATCATGAGCGAACTCCCATTCACAATTGCTACAAAGAGAATAAAATACCTAGTAATACAACTAACAAATAATGTAAAGGACCTCTTCAAGAAGAACTACAAACCACTGCTCAAGGAAATAAGAGAGGACACAAACAGGTGGAAAAAAATTACATGCTTATGGTTAGGGAGAATCAAGATCATGAAAATGGCCATACTGCCCAAAGTAATCTATAGATTCAATGCTATCCCCATCAAACTACCAGTAACCTTCTTCATAGAACTGGAAAAAACCAACTTAAACTTCATATGGAACCAAAAAATAGCCCACCTAGCCAAGACAATCCTAAGCAAAAAAAATAAATAAATAAAACACAAAGCTGGAGGCATCATGCTACCTGACTTCAAACTATACTACAAGGCTACAGTAATCAAAACAGCATGGTACTGGTACCAAAACAGAGATATAGACCAATGGAACAGAACAGAGGCCTCAGAGGCAACACCACACATCTACAACCATCTGATCTTTGACAAACCTGACAAAAACAAGCAATGGGGAAAGGATTCCCTGTTTAATAAATGGTGTTGGGAAATCTGGCTAGCCATGTGCAGAAAGCAGAAACTGGACTCCTTCCTGACACCTTACACTAAAATTAACTCCAGATGGATTAAAGACTTAAAAATAAGACCTAATGCCATAAAAGCCCTAGAAGAAAACCTAGGCAATACCATTCAGGACATAGGCATAGGCAAGGACTTCATGACGAAAACACCAAAAGCAAAGGCAACAAAAGCCAAATAGACAAATGGGATCTAATTAAATTTAAGAGCTTCTGCACAGAGAAGCTCTGTGCAGAGAAACAATCATTAGAGTGAACCAAGAACTAATAATAGAATTATTGGAAAAAATTTTTGCAATCTACCCATCTGACAAAGAGCTAATATCCAAAATCTACAAAGAACTAAAACAAGAAAAAAACAAACCCATCAAAAATTGGGCAAGAGATATGAACAGACACTTTTTAAAAGAAGACATTTATGTGGCCAACAAACATATGAAAAAAACTCATCATCACTGGTCATTAGAGAAATGCAAATCAAAACTACATTGAGATACCATCTCACGCCAGTTAGAATGGTGATCATTAAAAAATCTAGAGACAAGATGCTGGAGAGGATGTGGAGAAATAGGAATGCTTTTACACTGTGGTGGGAGTGTAAATTAGTTCAACCATTGTGGAAAACAGTGTGGCGATTCCTCAAGGATTAAGAACTAGAAATACCATTTGACCCAGGAATCCCATTGCTGGGTATATACCCAAAGGATTATAAACCAATCTATTATAAAGACACATACATTCATATGTTCATTGTGGCACTATTTACAATAGCAAAGACTTGGAACCAACCCAAATGCCCATCAAAGATAGACTGGATAAAGAAATATGGCACATATATGCCACAGAATACTATGCAGCCGTAAAAAAGGATGAGTTCATGTCCTTTGCAGGGACATGGATGAAGCTGGAAACCATCATTCTCAGCAAACTGACACAAGAACAGAAAACCAAACACCACATGTTCTCACTCATAAGTAGGTGTTGAACAATGAGAACACATGGACACAGGGAGGGGAATATCACGCACTGGGGGCTGCTGGGGTTTGAGGGCTAGGGGAGGGATAGCAGGAGGTGGGGAGATTGGGGAGGGATAACATTAGGAGAAATATCTAATGTAGGTGACCAGGGGATAGAGGCAGCAAACCTCCATGGCATGTGTATACCTATGTAACAATCCTGCAAGATCTGCACATGTATCCCAGAACTTAAAGTAAAAAAAAAAGAAATATAATTCAGAGACAAACCAGAGGCAAAAATTAGGTAAAAATGAGTATTTCCCCCAAAGTGTAGTTTATTTTCATAACTTAAGTTTTTGTGTGTCTGCCACTTAAATTAGGTAAAAATATTTTCAAAATATCAAAGCAAAAAAAGTTGCAAAATTTTATGAGATACAGGAATCTCTCCCTTGTATTTGAATAGTTCTTTATAATTTTTGAAGTCTTTTTATATCTATTATTTTACTTGATTCTTACAACAATCCTGTCATGTAAATATATCAATTTATTATCCCTATTTTATATAAGAAAAAAATAACTGGTCAAATCACAAAACTAGGCCAGGCATGGTGGCTCATGCCTGTAATCCCATACTTTGAGAGGCCGAGGCATGTGGATCACCTGAGGTCAGGTGTTTGAGACCAGCCTGGCCAACATGGTGAAACCCTGTCTCTACTAAAAATACAACAATTAGCCAGGTGTGGTAGCATGCACCTGTAATCCCAGCTACTTGGGAGGCTGAGGCACAAGAATCGCTTGAACTCAGGAGGTGGAGGCTGCAGTGAGCCAAGATCACACCACTGTACTCTGACCTGGGCAACAGAGTGAGACTCCATCTGAAAAAAAAAAAAGATTTATAAAACTAATAGTCAAATACTACTTGAACACCAAATATACAGAAACACATACTAGTAGATTGATTAGTCAAGAGAATTTCTGCCAACCCATATTTGAATGCCTTGGGTACATTAGGATATTACTAGGAATATAAAGAACCATGAGTATAGTTGTCTGAAGAAATTAAAATCTTCAGTGGCTGTGGCACTTTGCTTATGTTAGAATAGAATTTTAAAATCTCCCCAATAAAGCAGAGACAAAGTAAATGATGCCTTTAAGCATTTCCTAAAAGGGAAGTTCTCAGAACATAAAGGCTACACTGGCTACTTCTCATCCAGCATCTACTCTATTTTTGCTGGTAACAGTCACTTATTTTGTTTTGTTTTTCTTGATGGTTTAGGCATAGCCTACAATTCAATGCAGTGAGAGTTCTGCATCTCCCTGGACACAGTGACTGGTTCAGGGAAAGGCATATAAACTAATTAAGCCCATGCATAAGGTTCAGGACTTCTGTTCAAATACTTGGGAAAGGGAAACACTTTTTAAAATGGATTTGAGGCTGTGAGTATGTAACCCTAGAGCTAGCAAGAGTTGCTCTATGAAGGGACTTGACTGGGAGCATAACTGACATAGAGGGATCCAGAGCTGAGAGATAGAGAGGAATTGGGTCCTACTGGCATCATTTGAAACCCTGGATCAAGTTGCTTATATTTACCTGATTTATTGCTGAATTTTTCAGGTACATGTGGTAACAAATTCCCCTTTTAACCTAATAGTGTTATATTTTTTGACATTTGCAAGGGACAAGGATCCTAACCAAAAAATTTGCTAAAGAGACAGGCTGCTTCTTTGAGCACTTTACTTCAGCAAAGAGATGCCAAACTAAACATAATACAGAAGACAAGGCTTTCAAACACTGTAGAAACATTGCCATCTAGACAGCTATCAACTTTCCAATAAAGGACCTCTAACTCAATGTTTAGTTCTTTGACTAATATGCCCCTTTCTTAGCAGCAGGCACTAATAGGTGGGCAGACAATATCCATTCCTACTCCCCTTCTCCATTTTCCTTGCCTTCTACCACAATAGAGGATAGGAAAGCAAGGTTTCTCAGCCTCCCTAGATGCATGACCCAATTCTAGCCAATAGACCAAAGTAGAGATCGGCTGGGAATTTCTGGGAAAGCTTGTCTTCTTCCAATAAAAGGATGTATATGTGGCTACTCCTGCCCCTTCTCTTTCTTTCTACCAGAAACATGGCTGTGACACTTAGAGGTTTAGCAACCACCTTGCAACTATGGGGTAACAAGCCAGCACACTTGGTTGTATGTTGACATAAGAGCCTATGATCTTGATGATATTATAGAGTTGCTACACTAGCTCTGGGCTGGTAAACATAAACCTAATATAAATAAAAAATTTTTTGCATGACAAAAAATATCATAAACAAAAAGACAACTGACAAACTGGGAGAAAATATTCATTACATATGAAAAAAAGGTCACAGACAAAAGATCAATATTCTTCAAATAAAAATGACACTTAAACATATCAAAAATGTTTAAACTCACATATGATTATGGAAATTATATTATTGTGAGTTTAAACATATAATTAAAATAGCACAGAGATACCATTTCTCACCTATGAGAGTAGCAAAACTTAAAAAAAATATGGACAACACATTCTTGGTAAGGATATGGGGAGACCAGCACTTTGACACATTACTGTTGGGAATGCAAACTGTTATAATCCTTCTGGAGGAAAATTTGGCAATACCTAATAAAACAATAAATGCATTTACCTTTTGACCCAGATAGTCTACCTCTGGAAATCTACCTTGAAGACACACTGCCAATAACATGAAAATATATATCATAAGTTTATTCATTAAGTATTGTTTATAGTGGCAAAATATTGGGGGGAAATCTAAATACCCAATTTACAGGTATTTTTGAATAAACAAAAGTACATCCACACAGTGGAGTACTGTGAGGCTGTAAAAAATAAGAGGAAGATCTCTATGTAAACCAACGTGGAGTGATTTCTACTACATAGTATTAGGTGGAAAATCAAAGTGAAAAAAGAGCGTGCTACCCTTTATGTAACAAAGAGGAGGATATAAAGAAATACACAGATATCTCCATTTTTGTATAAAAGAAACACAGGAAGGATAAGCCAAAAACTAAAAAGACCAGTTACCCACAGAGGGTAGGTGAGAAAGTGATAGAAAGAAGAGAAGAATGGTAGCTGGAAGAAGGAAAAAGTGATAATTTTCTGATAATACATATTTATATAGCTATGACTATTAAAACCACAGTGATATTTCATATTCCTGAATACATAAACAAAACCAAACAGGACAGGTGAATGCAAAAGTAAATCCAACAATAATAAATAAGTCTAACTATACATATTACAAGTGAATAACTTCTCATATGCTAAGAGCAGTGGGAAGAAAATGAACTTACATAACTTTGGAAAATTAGTATTTTGACTGGATGCTATAATGCTAAAGACAAACAGAACTGTACATAAATGCTGTAATTTATTTACTAAATGTGTTTTTTACAGGGGCCTGAGTTAACACTTCTGAAACTACTCTATATAAATACTAGAATTAAATAAATAAATAAATTCAATAAATAAATGATGAAAGTATTGGATTTCAAACCATAGAATAAATATCCACGAGTATACAGTGAATAAGAAACCAAATAAATAAACAAATGGCAGAAAAGAGAAAGTTCTTCTTTTACAGTAGAATTCTAATTAATAAAAATAGCAGGAAAGAGTAGACTAAAAAAACACCATTAGACAGATACCACAGTAACATAGGTTGAAGTTAGCTGGCTCATTCGATAGCTGCTAAAATTAGTGAAATAAAGTTCTAGGAGAAACAGAGTTTACAGTCTCAAACTATCTTTTTGTAGATATTCAAAAATTACAAAGAGAAAACAGCAATTTTTAATTGGAGAAACTCAGCAGACACTGGGTTAACCAAATGATGAAGTTTAACATCACCAGTAATCACGAACCCCTTGACATAATATGAGGCACTGCAAAGGCAAAACATCATTTCTGTGGTATTCTTACCCAAAACTCCATAACTTCATTCCCCTACCCAACTTTTTTTGGAGAAGATTCTCATTCTGTCACCCAGGCAGGAATTCAGTGGTACAAACATGACTCACTGTACCCTTGACCTCCTGGGCTCAAGTGATCATCTTATGCTCCCATCTCAGCCTCCTGAGTAGCTGGGACTACAGGCACGCACCACAACACCTGGCTCATTTTTTATTTTTTGTAGAGATAGGGGTCTCACTATGTTGCCCAGGCTGATCTCGAACTCCTGGCCTCAAGCATTCCTCTCCCAAAGTGCTGGGACTACAGGTGTGAGCCACTGCTCCCGGCCACAACTTCATTCCTGTCATGAGGAAATATCTAGAAAAATCCCAACCAATGGACATTCTACAAAATAACTCATCAGTAATCTGAAAGACTGAGGAACTATTACAAATTGCAGAATATTAGGGAGAAATAACAATTAAATGTGACATGGGATCCAGGATAGGATCATGTAACAGGAAAAAAAAAAAAAGACTAAAAGAAAAGTCTAAAAATAGTTCAAAATAAAGTTATAAAAGGCTTGGTGCAATGGTTCATGCCTGTAATCTCAGCACTTTGGGAGGCCAAGATAGAAGAACTTCTTGAGGCCAAGAGTTTGAGTCCAGCCTAGGCAACATAACAAGACCCCATCTCCACAAAAAATTGTCTAAATTAGCTGGTTGTGGCCAGGTGTGGTGGCTTATGCTTGTAATCCCAGCACTTTGGGAGCCCAAGGCAGGTGGATCACCTGAAGTCAGGAGTTCAAGACCAGCCTGGCCAACATGGTGAAAAACCCTGTCTCTACTGAAAATACAAAAATTAGCTGGGTGTAGTGGCATGCACCTGTAATCCCAGCTACCAGGGAGGCTGAGGGAAAAGAATTGCTTGAACCTGGGAGGCAGAGGTTGCAGTGAGCCAAGATCGTGCCACTACATTCCAGCCTGAGTGACAGAGCAAGACTCTGTCTCAAAATAAGTAAATAAAAATAAATTAGCTGATTGTGGGTGTACCTGCCTATAGTCCTAGTTACTCCGGATGCTAAGACTGGGAATATCACTTGAGATCAGAAGTTAGAGGTCATAGTGAACTATGACTGTACCACTGCACTCCAGCCTGGACAACAGAGTGAGACCCTATCTCAAATTTTAAAGTTATTGAAAAAGTAAACCCAGCCCAGGGCAGTGGCATGCCTGTAGGGAGGCTGAAGCAGGAGCATCACTTTAGCCTAGGAGTTCAAATCCAGCCTGGGCAATATAGCAAGATCCCCAAGCTAAAATTTTTTTAATTAAAAAAAGTGGCTCACGCCTGTAATCCCAGCACTTTGGGAGGCCGAGGTGGGTGGATCACGAGGTCAGGAGTTTGAGACTAGCCTGGCCAACATGGTGAAACCCTGTCTCCACTAAAAATACAAAAATTAGCCAGGTGTGGTGATGGGCAACTATAATCCCAGCTACTTGGGAGGTTGGGAAAGGAGAATCGCTTGAACCTGGGAGGTGGAGGTTGCAGTGAGCCAAGATCGTGCCATTGCACTCCAGCCCAGGTGACAATGCAAGACTCCACCTCAAAAAAAAAAAGTAAATTCATACATACTTATACTATTATTAGATATTATCTGTAGCCAAAGGCAATCCAACTGATAAACTTAGCTTAGAAATCATTCAAGAGAAAAAATACTTTGCTTTTCCAACATAGATAAGAAATGTTCTTCTGTATGTGTGACTCACTTAAAATTGCAGAGACATTTGAAAACTGTGGTGCCTTCTCTATCGCTACTGCTTTACTGGTATCCAGAAGAGTAGAATTCTTCCACTGCATGTGTTCTTCTAAGTTGGGACACTCCCAGTCTAAAACAGCAGAGAAGAGATAGTGTAAGACGGAACAACAGCCTACAAATGATGGGTTACCCCACCTCACCTTAGGTCCCCAGCCCATACCAAATGATGGTATTATAATTGAAGGTTTTGGATGAGACAGAAAAAAAATAAGCCTGATGGATCAATGTAGTAAGTCTATGTTCTATTCTGGTTCTCTTACCCTGTCTTCCTTTCTAGACTTTTGTACCATAGGATTATTGATCTAAGAAACAGGTAGCACACATGTGAGCTCCCTGTTATATTTTATATATGTTATGCCTACGTGCCATTAAAAATAACACCACTAAGTAACACACAGTCGGCCCTTTGTATCTATGAGTTCCACATTTGTGGATTCAATGAACCATGGACTGAAAATATTCAGGAAAAAATTGCATCCATATTCAACATATGCAGACTTTTTTTTTCTTGTCATTATTCTCTAAACAATATGGTATAACAACTGTTTATATAGCATTTACATTGTATTAAATATCATAAGTAATCTAAAGATGATTTAAGGTATATAGGAGGATGTGTATAGGCTACATGCAAATACCATGGCATTTTATATCAGCATCCACAGATTTTGGTATCCAAGGGAAGTCTTGCAACCAATCTCTATGGATACCAAGGGACAACTGTACATAAACTGCTATTACTTAATATCAGTTTTAAGCTTTCCAGTGACTTCCCACTATGGAAGAATAAGGCTATCCCCACCTTTCCTACCCCTCCCATTGTCCCCATATTGTTATATTGCATATTAATGTAGATTAATATTCATGTAGAAATTATGATGATAAAATGTTATAAAAATGCTGTTTACTCTGGTGGTATATCAAGACCACCTTTTGTTTTTCCTGAAGTCAATACAAGTCCCTTTCCTCATTTGTTTAGTTTTACACACACACACACACACACACACACACACACACACACACACCCCACAAGCTTTTTTGAGATAGAGTCTTGATATCTTGCCCAGGCTAGAGTGTGGTGGTATGATCTTGGCTTACCACAACCTCTGCCTCCTGGGTTCAAGTGATTCTCCTGCCTCAGACTCCCGAATAACTGAGATTACAGGCACCCACTACCATGCCAGGCTAATTTTTGTATTTTGTAGAGGCAAGAGTTTCACCATGTTGGCCAGGCTTGTCTTGAGCTCCTGACCTCAAGTGATCCACCTGCCTCAGCCTTCCAAAGTGCTGCAATTACAAGTGTGTGCTGCTACTCCCAGTCTCTATATATTTTTAAATCTATTTAATCTCAAATGCTACCAAACTGCATAAGTCCATTCCATTTATTCCACTCCTGGTGTTCTAGAATTTCATAATGCTGTCCCTTGGTGTTTTTCATCTACTGCACTAGGCACACTATGGTCCTTCTAACCTGGAAACTCATAATTTATAGCTTGAAAAATGTTATCGAATTATTTCTTTCATAATTTTCTTCCTTTTTTCCATTATCTTTTTGAGGAACTCCTATTATTTGATGTTGGATTTCATATACTGTTCTTCTATCTTATCATTTTTCCTCTAAATTTTAATCTTTACTTTCTCTTTTTTTCTTATTTTTTTCTAGTAAATCTCAGCTTAATATTTTAATCCTTTTACTGAGTTTTCCATTCTGCTATTGCATTTCATTGTTCTTCGAATAGCCCTTTTTTAAAATAACAGTCTATTCTTATTTAATGGATAAAATATGGATTTTCTTATCTCAAGGAAGATTTAAAAAAATATTTTCTCCTTCTTCCTATTTCCCCTTGATTCTTTTTCCTATTTAATTTTCTTGTTTCAAGATTTTTTAATTTTAGAATTTTAAACATTTTAATTTTTAAAATTCCTCTTCTTTATTGTTAGAACACTTCACATGAAAGCTACACTCAAACTTTCAAGTATACAATCCAGTGTTGCTAACTAAAGGCACAGTGTTCTATAGCAGCTCTCTAGAACTCACTCTTATATGTGTAAGTGAAACTTAATAACCATTGATAGGAACTCCCAATTTTCCCATTCTGCGAGATCCTGTCAAACATCATCCTACTCTCTGCTTCTATGAGTTTGACTATTTTAGATAACTTATGAGTGGAAACATGAAGTATTTGGCCTTCTGTGACTGGCTTATTTCATTTAACATAATGTCCTCAAGGTTCATCCATGTTGTCACAAATTGCAGGATTTCTCTTTAAGGCTGAATAATATTCCATTGTATGTATACACCACATTTTTAAATCCATTTATTATCAATGAACATTTAAGTATTTTCCCACATCTTGGCTACTGTGAATAATGCTGAGGTGATTAAGGGAATGCTAGTATCTCTTTGAGATCCTGATTTTAATTATTCTGGATATTCATAAGCGGGATTGCTGGACCACATGGTGATTCTGTTTTTAATTTTTAGACACACCTCCATACTGTTTCCATAGCCGCTGTGCCATTTTACATTCCCACCAACAGTGTACAAGGGTTCTAATTTATCCAAACCCTTGCCAACATTTGTTATCTTTTGTTTTTTGATAATAGCCATCTTTTTTAATTTATTTATTTTTTGAGATGGAGTTTTGCTCTTGTTACCCAAGCTGGAGTGCAATGGCGCGATCTCGGCTCACCGCAACCTCCGTCTCCTGGGTTCAGGCAATTCTCCTGCCTCAGCCTCCTGAGTAGCTGGAATTTACAGGCACGTGCCAACATACCCAGCTAATTTTTTGTATTTTTAGTAGAGACAGGGTTTCACCATATTGACCAGGATGGTCTCGATCTCTTGACCTCGTGATCCACCTGCCTCGGCCTCCCAAAGTGCTGGGATTACAGGCTTGAGCCACCACGCCTGGCCGATAATAGCCATCTTAACAAGTGTGAGGTGATATCATGGTTTTGATTTGCATATTCCTGATGATTAACGATGAACATTTTTTATATACTTATTGGCTATTGCTGCTGCTTTGGAGAAATATCTATTCAAGTTCTTTGTCTATTTTTAAAATTAGATTGTCTTTTTGTTTCGTTTTACTATTCAGTTTTAAGAGTTCCTTATACATTTTAGTTATTTACCCTTTTATCAGATATATGATTTACAGATATTTTCTCCCATTTTTTTTTTTTTAATTTTTTATTGGATTTTAGGTTTTGGGGTACATGAGCATAGCATGCAAGACAGTTGCGTAGGTACACACATGGCAGTGTGCTTTGCTTTTCTTCTCCCCTTCACGCACATTTGGCATTTCTCCCCAGGCTATCCCTCCCCACCTCCCCCTCCCACTGGCCCTCCCCTTTTCCCCCTATAGACCCTAGTGTTTAGTACTCCCCTTTCTGTGTCCATGTGTTCTCATTTTTCATCACCCACCTATGAGTGAGAATATGCGGTGTTTCATTTTTTGTTCTTGTGTCAGTTTGCTGAGGATGACGTTCTCCAGATTCATCCATGTCCCTACAAACGACACAAACTCATCATTTCTGATTGCTGCATAATATTCCATGGTGTATATGTGCCACATTTTTCCAATCCAGTCTATTATCAATGGGCATTTGGGTTGATTCCAGGTCTTTGCTATTGTAAACAGTGCTGCAATGAACATTCGTGTACATGTGTCCTTATAGTAGAACTATTTATAGTCTTTTGGATATATACCCAGTAATGGGATTGCTGGGTCAAATGGAATTTCTATTTCGAAGGCCTTGAGGAATCGCCACACTGTTTTCCACAATGGTTGAACTAATTTACACTCCCACCAACAGTGTAGAAGTGTTCCTTTTTCTCCACATCCTCTCCAGCATCTGTTGTCTCCAGATTTTTTAATGATCGCCATTCTAACTGGCGTGAGATGGTATCTCAATGTGGTTTTGATTTGCATCTCTCTGATGACCAGTGACGATGAGCATTTTTTCATATGATTGTTGGCCTCATATATGTCTTCTTTCGTAAAGTGTCTGTTCATCTCCTTTGCCCACTTTTGAATGGCCTTGTTTGTTTTTTTCCTGTAAATCTGTTTGAGTTCTTTGTAAATTCTGGATATCAACCCTTTGTCAGATGGGTAGACTGCGAAAATTTTTTCCCATTCTGTTGGTTGCCGATCCACTCTAGTGACTGTTTCTTTTGCCGTGCAGAAGCTGTGGAGTTTCATTAGGTCCCATTTGTCTATTTTGGCTTTTGTTGCCAATGCTTTTGGTGTTTTGTTCATAAAGTCCTTGCCTACTCCTATGTCCTGGATAGTTTTGCCTAGATTTCCTTCTAGGGTTTTTATAGTGCCAGGTCTTATGTTTAAGTCTTTAATCCATCTGGAGTTAATTTTAGTGTAAGGTGTCAGGAAGGGGTCCAGTTTCTGCTTTCTGCACATGGCTAGCCAGTTTTCCCAACGCCATTTGTTAAACATGGAATCCTTTCCCCATTGCTTGTTTTTGTCAGGTTTATCAAAGACTGTATAGTTGTATGTATGTTGTGTTGCCTCCAGTGCCTCTGTTTTGTTCCATTGGTCTATATCTCTGTTTTGGTACCAGTACCATGCTGTTTTGATTACTGTAGCCTTGTAGTATAGTTTGAAATCCGGTAGTGTGATGCCCCCCGCTGTGTTCTTTTTGCTTAGAATTGACTTGGCTATGCGGGCACTCTTTTGGTTCCATATGAAGTTCATGGTGGTTTTTTCCAGTTCTGTGAAGAAAGTCAGTGGTAGCTTGATGGGGATAGCATTGATTCTGTAAATTACTTTGGGCAGTATAGCCATTTTCACGATATTAATTCTTCCTAACCATGAACATGGAATGTTTCTCCATCTGTTTGTGTCCTCTCTGATTTCGTTGAGCAGTGGTTTGTAGTTCTCCTTGTAGAGGTCTCTTACGTTCCTTGTGAGTTGTATTCCAAGGTATTTTATTCTTTTTGTAGCAATTGCGAATGGCAGTTCGCTCTTGATTTGGCTTTCTTTAAGTCTGTTGTTGGTGTAGACGAATGCTTGTGATTTTTGCACATTGATTTTATATCCTGAGACTTTACTG